CGTTTGCCTGCTATTTTTCCTTGCATGATATTTTGTAGCAATCTATATTTGGGACCTCTCATTACATGTCCGAAATATTTCAATTTTTTTTCTGCTTGATGCTTTTTATGATCTCAGTGGTCTTGCTGAGACGTTCAAGTATTGTGGAGTTATGAATCTTCTCCAGCCAGGAAACTTTTAAAATTCTTCTATAGCACCACATTTCGAAATCCTCAAGGCGATTTAGATCGATTTTATTCACAGTCCAGAACTCGACAGCATAAAGTAAGACCGAGAACACGTAGCAGCGAAGTAGGCGGATCCTTAATGCCAATTTTAGGTCTCTGTTACATAACACCTTGGACATCCTTCTAAAAGCAGCTCTAGCCTGCTCTATTCTGGATCTAATTTCGCCCTGATTTTCTGCATTACAATTTAATTGCTGTCCAAGGTAGACAATTTTATCAACTTGCTCAAGTTTGGTATTATTTACATATATAGACGGTTTTATATTCTGTTGTTTACTTATTACAAGTATTTTGGTTTTCCTTATGTTAAGATCCAGACCTGCCTCCCTACATCTCTCAACGACACTATCAAGTAGTATTTGCAGATCTTCTTGACTAGAAGCTAGGAGTACTGTATCGTCCGCATATCGCAAATTATTGATGACTTCGCCGTTCACAAGTATTCCTTCTTGTTTTTCAGAAAGTACTTTTCTGAAAATTCTTTCGGAGTAAACGTTAAAAAGCAGGGGTGACAAGAGGCATCCCTGCCGTACTCCTCTTTTAATATTAAGAGCTTGTGATTCCACACCATCTACTAAAACTGATGTTGTTTGATTCCAATATAAATTTGCAATTATTCGAACATCTCTGCCGTCCAAGCCAATGTCTTTTAGAGCTTCGATCAATATAGAGTGCTTAACACGAACAAATGCCTTTTGAAAGTCAATAAAACAACAGTATATGTCTACAGATATATCACGACATCTTTGAGCAAGTACGTTCATTCCAAACAGTGCCTCTCTCGTTCCAAATCCGTTACGGAAACCAAACTAAGTGTCATCCAGGTATTCCTCACATTTATTGTAGATACGACCATGTATTACCTTCAGAAAAATTTTCAATAAGTGATTTAACAAACTGATGGTTCTATAATCAGCACAGGTTTTTGCTGTTGTCTTCTTAGGTAGAGCTATAAACAGTAAGTTAGACCAACCATTAGGTAGTTGTCCGCTGGTATAAATGGTATTTAAAAACGAAGTTATAGCCTCTAAAACATTGCTATCCTTTGCATATATATTTCGCTTATATATTTTTGCTATAGACGCTTATATATTTCAGTTGGAATTTCATCAGGACCAGTCGCTCTGCCATCTTTTGATGATTGTATGGCCTTTATAACCTCACAGCGTGTTATTAGGGGTCCGTCGCAGTTAGTAATATCGGGAGGTGAACTACTCCTATCGTCTTCGAATAGGTTCGTGACGTAATTTTCAAATTCTTTAAGTTTGTCCTCTACTTCGAATATTACTTTACCATTTTCATCTTGTAGCAGTGCATTTTGTTTCTTATTGAAGATAGGAGCCGCTTCTTTTACTTTTTTATACATGTTAAACGTGTCGTATCTTTTTTCGAGTTCTTCAATGTCAATAGAACAACGTCGACTGATAAAATCTAATGAAACAGAATATAGACACCTGCAGGGAAGAATAAAAAAAGAGATCAAATTAGCCAAAGAAAAATTGATGAGAGAAAGGTAGGACGAAATGGAGGATGTAATATCTAAACATGACTTATTTAATGTGCACAAAAAACTAAAAGAAATGAGTAACATGTTAAAAAACGAGTTCCCTCTGTACTCGTTGACAATAATAACAAAATTATTGTAAATGAGCACTAAATAATAAAAAGAATAACAGTTGTATATATCAGAGTTGTTTGAAGACGACAGGAATAATATTGCCGAATTCTACCAAAACTGTACTGACGGCCCGGAAATTATGAAATGCGAGCTACAACACGCTACAAATAATGCTATAATTAGAAAAGCTTGTGGTACAGATGATACACCAACTGATTTGCTGAAACTAATAGAGCATGATAACATAAAAGTAGTAGTAAGACTTTTAAATTCAATATATAACACCGTAGTGATTCCCAAAGTTTGGCTAAAATCCATCTTTGTCGCAATATCTAAAAAACACAATACAAGAAAATGCTTAGAATATCGATTAACTAGCCTAATGACCCACACTCTTAAAATTTTCCTAAGAATACTCCACAACAGAATTAGACGCAAATGCGAAGAAGATCTAGAAGATACCCAATTTGGTTTTAGAAATGTTATGGTAACCGGGGACGCACTTTTTGCGCTTAACATTATATTACCAAAATGCTGTCACCAAAGAAAATATGTATTTACTTGTTCTATGGACTTCGAAAAGGCATTCGATAAAGTACAGCATGTAAAATTAATTCAAATACTGAAAAATATCGGAACAGATGACAAGAATATTCGTGTCATTAAAAATTTGTACTGAAGTGAAACTGCTGAAATGTTCTCAGAATGTCGATCATATTTTGCTGGTGAACGCAGTCGAATGCTTTTCGATAATCAATAAAACATGCATATGCATCTACATTCATGTGTCTGCATCGTTGTGTTAACACATTTGAGGCAAAAAGAGCTTCTCGTGTTCCCAATCCATTTCCAAATACGAATTGAGTGTCAATCATCTGAAACTCATACTTCTTGTAAATTCGTGTATGAATGATTCTGAGAAAAGTTTTGAAGGACATGAGACATCATGCTTAATATTCGATAGTTATCGCAGTGTGAGGCATTGGATTTTTTTAGTCATGTTACGAATGTTGATTTTAGCCAGACTGATGGTATTTTACCTGTGCCATATATATTTGACTAGTGCTGTTAGTAATTCAACGCTTTTACTTTTGTTGTCTGCAATTAATGTAACTATATCGACATCGATATTATCTGGACCGATGGTTTTTCCGTTGTTCTGAGCTTTTACTGCATAAATAACTTCTTCTTTTGGTATGTTTGGACCTTTTTCATTTATTCGATCATCCGAGGATGGTGGGTAACAAGGTCTATCATCGTCAAAAAGTGTCAAACAAGTGACTGTATTTTTTTCCATCTCTCCAGTTTGTCCTTTGTACCTATAATTATCTCGTTATTATTATTTCTTAATATTGTTTCTTGTCTCTTTCTATTTGTACCTGTCATTTCTTTTACTTTTTTATGGACATTAAAGGTGTCGTATCTTTCCTGAATTGTTCTATTTCTAGGCATTTGGTTGACATCCAGGTTTCTTTAGCTTTTCTGCACTTTCTTTTAGAAATAAAATAGTTTCTTATAAATTTTGTAATAAAGGATCTCTCTAAGTATTGAAATTTTCATCGCTTCGATTGCTCCTAGACTATAAACGTATTAACAAGACAAAAATAATATTTCCGATGGGTCAACACAAAAGATTTTTATGAGTGTACCTGAAGACAAATACACGGAACTTCCGGTACTTAATTTACTAAAAGTCGACAGTCCCGTCAAATAGTCTGTAAAACAGTTTTATTTCATCTTAAAAGCTTTTAAAATATTAATTGAAAATCCGATTATGACTAAATTCCATTACAGGTACTTCACCGTATGGTACTTCCTATTTTACTTGAATGGAGATGATTTTGAAGTAGAATGAAACATAATTTTATTTTAATAAAATTGTAACTTTTGATAAGTTAAAAAATCGCTACAAAATAAAAAATATTCCACTATAGTATGAACAATTTACAAGTAAAGTAAACAAACAACAAATTTACGCTTGTATCAAAAATGAATGGAATTGTGATAGTGTATATATTTCTATGTGGTGCGAATAAAACACGAATATCGGGTAATACCAGAATTACCCGGATAGAGTTAGAATTATCCAAGTATAGTGTTATCCTGTCCAAATAAAGTGGTTTGACCATCCGTTGTGGATCTTGGCCAACTCACAAAGAAATCGCTATTCCTGTCGATTTCTGACAACTTCCCTCCATCTCCTAACCCTAAGAATCTGTAGGTATTCTTCCACATCATCAATCCATTTCATTCGTGGTCGTCCTCTGCTTCTTTTCCCCTTTAGTTTTGAAAATGTTAATCTCTTCGTGTATTCGTGATCTGACATCCTAGCAATGTGTCCAGCCCATCTAAGTCTCCACAATTTAACGACTTTTACAATATCTGGATCGGTGTATAACTGATCTAAATCAAAATTGTATCTACGACGCCATAGCCCATTTTCATTTACGGCCCCAAAAATCTTTTTAAGATTTTTTCTCTCAAAAATACCAAGAAGTCTTTCATCATTTTGAGATAAGGTCCACGTTTCAGCCGCATATATTAAAATCGGTCTTATTAAGGTCTTGTATATATTAAGTTTTATTGCACGTTTTATATTTTTATTTTTTACATGTTTCTGGAGACCGTGAACAGTTCTGTTTGCTATTGCTATGAGTTTTTTTATTTCGTGGCTTGTCGTGTTTATTGCGTTTGCTAAATATCCAAGATATGTATATTCTTTGACTTGCTTATGATTGTTATGATTGTTAATTTGAATTAACTCTGTTGGATATTTCGAGGGTTTTTAGAAAACAACATATAATTGGTTTTTTCCTCGTTTACCACAAGTTCTAATTCACTTGCTGCGTCCGCAGGCCTTGTAAAACACTGCACCATGTCTCTTATACTTCTGCCTACTTTAACTATATCGTCAGCGAATGCGAGAATTTCCGTCGATCTATTAAAAATAGTTCCATTCGTTCTAATATTTAATTATCTGATTGCATTTCCAAGGCAATATTAAAGAGGAGTTACGCCAACGCGTCCCCCTGTCTTAGACCATTATTAATATCAAAGAATGTAGAGTTTTCTCCTTCAATTCTAACGCATGAGCTTACGTTTTGCATTGGGTTAACTTAACTAACTAAGGTGGTATACCAAAGTCTATCATTGCATTAGATAATGCAGTTCTTTCACACTGTCATAGGCTGCTTTAAAGTCAATGAAGAGATGATGTGTATATATCATGATACAAATACAAACAGATAAGATACCGCGCATGTAGGCGTGGCTTATGCATGACTTATGTGACGTCAGCTTGTGCTAAATTTCGCCATATTGTGTTTGGATGTTTATGTACATTTACGGTCCATAGCCAATATTTAGTAAAATAATATTTTGAGAGTGTTAAAGGCTTTAAATTTTTCGCAATATGAGGTGTGCAATGTACGGTTGTGTCGTACAGCGTTTTATAGCTTTCCAAAAGACAAGGAAATGCAAGCTGTTTGGAAACATTTGTGTAAACACCAGGATAGTTTTAATGTTAAATTTGCTCATGTTTGCTCTAAGCACTTTATTAAAAGTGATCGATACGATCGAAGGAACCGGCAACTTAAAAGACAAGAAAAAAGACTTGTGGATGATTTATTAAATAGATACGTGTTATTTATTATATTGAAGTGGTAAATAATTATGTCTAATGATTTCATTACTAAATACTTGTTTTTGTAGAATGGAACTTTGTAGCAATAGTGGAAACAGTTTTGATAATGGTGCGAAGGCTGGTGCTTCTAATTTTATCCCCGAGGATGCTGTTTTGGAAGAATTACCTACTCGTCGAAGTATTGGGTTAGTTTGTAGTTAAAAATACCTAACTAGCGCAGATTATATACTATCTTAACTAGGCTGTGTTTTTAATCCCTAGAATATGTGGTCCTGTATACTTAAACTCTGACTTTTTTTGAGGGTTAATACTGAAGAAGATACTCGGGACAAAATAATACTTGGCCTTCAAGAAAATATTGCATTTTTGGAAAAGCGCCAAGAACTTATTAGAAATATTTTTAGTGAGGAGCACCTAAAAAAATTAGAAAATTCAAAAACTCGCCTTAAATGGAAAGTTGAGGACATATCTAAAGCAATAGGTATCTATTCTGCCGTTCCAAAAGCATATAGGATAGTTCATTATTGAAATGCAAACACAGATTGCTTTAAAAAAAAGGATACTCGTAAGTTCAGTTAAGTAAAAAAAGAGTTTTACTTATCCTGCCCTATTAATGACTGCAACCTCAAAATCAAACTTTAGTTTACATAACCACTCCATTCGGCCATGGCTCCCCCTTCAAACTTTACTCTCATGGAAACGTGTTATTTTCTACAATATACTAGTTTAAATACTTAACTTAAATTCACATAGTAAATAAAACATCTATTAAATTATATTAGAATTTCAACAGTGCGTTTCATCCGCAAGCATGGATACATTTTGAAAATTTAGCACAAGGTGACGTCATGCGCGAGATGTACGAGTTTAGTGAGTGGCAATATCATATCTTGTATCCTTATATCATGTGTATATATGTTATGTTTTAGTGACTTTTTTAGAATCTGTCTAAGTGCTTAAATTTGATGTGTAGTTGACTTTCCAACAGTAAATCCGCATTGATATTGACCAACAATATCCTTTTTAAAATGTTTAAGTCTTTCAAATAATACATTGCCGAAGATTTTATACGCAGATGCAAACAGAGTAATGCCTCTATACGTCTTACTCTCCAGTTGATCACCCTTTTTATGCAACGCACATATTATTCCGTTCAGCCACTCTTCTGGTACCCATTCATTCTGCCATATAAGTACTATTAGTTTATGGATTGCTGCAAAAAGTTGATCACCACCTTTTTTATACATTTCCGAACAGATTTCATCGATTTCTGAGGCTTTATTGTCTTTGAGTTGTAGGACGGCATTTGACACTTTTCTTGTTGGGTCTTCACTGTGTATATAGTTGATGTTGTAGATTTTGTTGATTTTCTAACCTTGCTAATTTTCTTTTTGTTGATTTGTTGTTTTTTGTAGCCTTCTTCAATATCGTTTATATTTAGATGTTCGCTGAAATGTTGTGATCGTCTGTTAAGAACTGAGTTTTTATCATGTAGAGTAGAATTTCACCGTTAGAGTCTTTACAAATTTTTAATCGTGGTTTAAATTCTCGACGGCTAGTATTTAAGGATTTGTATTATTTTCTCGTTTCATTTTTCATCGAATAAAGTTTGTATCTCACTGAGAGTGTTTTGTTCGTATTCGCAATGCTAGTCTTATATTTTCTTCGACAAAAAAAAACTGATGATTATCACGGAAATATGGACGCCGATATTTTTGAACATTGGTTTGAGGAAAAATTATTAAAAAATCTGGAAAATCCATCATTAATAGTCTTAGACAATACATCGTATCACACCAGATAGGAGGATAAGTTTCCCACAAGCAGCTGGAAAAAAGAAGACTTAAGAAAGTGGCTGTCGGAGAAAAATATAGAACACGAACATCTAGTTTTAAAAGCTGAATTATTAAATAAGTGCAAAGAACACATTACTGAGAAAAAAATTGTCGTTGGCCAAATGGCACTAAAATATGGTCATGAGGTTTTAAGACTACCACCATATCACTGCCAGTACAATCCAATTGAACTGGTGTGGGGCATACTAAAAACTACTATGATAAATATGCATGTAAGACCACCGACGAAGCCAGCGTTTTACAACTCTGGCAAGATGTACTAAACCAAGTCAATGAGGAACAATGGAGAAAATATATTGAGCATACTGAAAAAAAATTTAGAGTCATATGAAATAGAACAAGTTATTGATGAAGTAAGACCTTTAATTATTCGTACAGATGAAGATTCAGATGAATCGGATAGCGAGTCAGATAGTGATAATACCTGTCCATAGATTAAGACGTAGATAGAAAAATTAACACAAAAGGGTTAACCACAAAAAAAAACAAAAAAAAAATAAAACAAAAACCGCATGCACGAGAGAGCCGGAGGTACGCCGCACGACGCTCTTGAATGCAAGCACCAAAAAAATTAGATTAGCAAGTAAGGTAGATTAAGGACATGACTGGACGAATGACTGGGTATTAGACGACGGATGAAAGGATTCGATGCTTGCTCGATCTCGACTGCACTTGGTGCAGAAAATGGAAAGTAAGTATCGGCACACACAACCATCATTAGATCGCCGAACAATTGCTTTGACCGGTAGTGACAAAGCCAAATGGGCTAACCTACCACTTAAATGTAAAAACACGGAAATCTCCCATTGCATGACGGGGGATACCGCGAAATAGTCGAGACCTGGCTTCAAAGACCAGGGGGCGGAGGAAAGCCGGGGCTGGTTGTACCGCAGGAGGACAACCTACGTCGGTGGGTTTGGGAAGGTGTGCGTGGGAAGTAGGAATAAGTCTTTGTTTTATATAGATATATATTTTTATAGATATATTTATAAAATATATAAAAATAAAAATATAATACAAAATTTTGAACACCCAATATTAACATTGGCAAATTTTATGCTTAAATAAAAATAGAGTTTAGTACACGCTGAAAAAGAATTTTTGTTTTTTCAGCATAAATATTAACCACAACATTAATTTTTGAAATTGCGTGTGTAATATGAAAAATTTTTCAAAAACTTTAAATATCTCAAAAACGGCTATTTTTTCGAGAATTGTATCCCAATAAAAATCGATCCAGAATTTTACATACATTCTAAAAAAAAACAAAAAGCACAGTTTCTATTTAAAATAAGAAACTTAATGGCGACTTCCGGTACAACCGGAAGTGATAGAAGAATGCAAATACTTAAAAAATAAAGAATGCTTTGCATAACCCATTATACCAAGTTTGCAGAAACCAGTGACGACCAGAACTTTGGAAACTTTTAACCAACATGTTGCGTGAATGACCCTGTATATTTCATACTTAATGTTTATCAATTTACATTATGATATTCAATTATTATAAAACATAATACAAAGTTATTATATTAAAAAAATCCCTAATCAAATTAAGAAAACCGTACATTTTTAATTCGAGAACCGCTGACTACATGAGGCAAATCTGAACAGACACTTTTATTACTTATGCAACAGGCTAAAACGATCCTACTTTACCTAGTAGGTAAAGAAACGATAAAAGTAGTCGTATTTCAATATTAACATTATTGATGTACTTATAAACAACTGAAACTTAAAAAAAAAACGCTTTGCAGTCGACTGTATTCGAAAAGGTGTTTCTTTAATGATATTGTTGATTGATAGTGTCACTTTTTATGTACCTACGTTATAATTTTCAATATATTCGATTATTATATTCTAGAAATATCTCGCCATTTTTGTTTAATTAATTGGCAAATCAAGAAGTTGTTTGTTAAAAGATTATGTAAACAAGTAGTTGATATTCTGTGATCCTGGTATAGTCGTTAATATTTATAGTAAGCCGAAAGAGGTAGATAAAAAATCTAAAAAAATAAATAGATCATTAGCGACACCTTTTAAATTAATATTCAAGTATCTCATAATTTTTCGTAATATAATATAAAACAATAATTTTTTAAATAAAACTAGAAAAACTTTACAATTTACATTACCGGTTTTATATACTATTAATAAAATAGTTTGAATGATAATGTGTTATTTCAAAAGCATAAAATTTACATTTACACTAATCATATAACACTTATAGAAACTGGACGTGTAGAAATTTTATTATCGCTAAAAATTGCAACATGTTGATATTCTCTTGCCTCCTTATGGTAGGAAGTTGATAAAAAGCACCCTCAAGCTTTAACGTGCTTTAAGTACACCAAGCTTTCTTGATGTACTTTGTATAATCTTTGAAAAATTAAAATATTTCAATGTTTACAAAGGAAAATGTTTTGGAACTTGTGTAAATGAACCCATTATTTGCAAAACTCGCTAATCGACAAAAGTTTCGAAAATTATTATTTTTTTAATAAGTTTATTTCAATTTTAAATAGGAATCGAATGCTATAGATCAGAATTTCCTGAAACTCGTTCTTTAGCATACAAATGATGTCGAGAAAATTACAGTTATTTGAAAAACTTCCTCTTGGCTTTGAATGTTTACCTCCAAAACTCGCTGTTTGCTCTATCATCAATAAAATTTTCTGGTTGGTTCACGTGACACGAACGCGCTACTTAAGAGCTGTGTTAAAGAAACAAATTTTCAGTAGTTTCTTCTTCTTCTTAAAGTTCCATCTTCTATGTGAGGTTGGATATCATAACGGCTATGGTCACTTTGTTGGTGCTGCTCTGAAAATTTCACTTGCAGTTCATGAATGAACAACATTCATGAACTGCAAGTTCATGAATGTTGTTCATTTTTAACTTTAGACGGTCGACATAATCTTCGCTTGCAACATGTTATTCGGAAGGTCTGCAGCCAAACTCTAGGTCGCAGGGCAAACGAACTTCACGACCTAACATCAGGCAGGTTGGAGTCTGGCCTGTAGTTTCATTCACGGCCGAGCGGTATGCCATTAAGAATAAATGAATGTGCTGATCCCAATCTCTTTGATGTTTTGATACAACTTTGGACAGGTGTTTACCGATCGTTCGGTTTATCCTCTCGACCATTCCATCTGATTGAAGATGCAGGGGTGTAGTTCTGGTCTTATTGACACCAATCAATTTACAAACGTTTTGGAAAAGGTTTGACTCGAAGTTTCGCCCTTGGTTGGAGTGGATCTCCAAGGGAATACCATATCGGCTAAAGAATTCTTTAACAAGTACCTCTGCAACGGTAGCAGCTTCTTGATTTGGTATCGCATAGGCCTCAGTCCATTTCGTAAAATATTCCATGGCTACCAGGATATATTTATTTCCATCATTCGTCTCTGGAAGTGGACCTGCAATGTCGATTGCTATTCTCTCCATAGGACTACCAACATTGTACTGTTTCATGGGTGCCCTCTTTTTACCAACTGGACCATTACTGGTTGCACACAGTTCACATTTCTGGCACCATCTTCTTACATCATCATTCGGGACTACATGCACTAATGTCTTGCCAAGAAGGTCTTTCACTTTGACGCACCCAATCCAATACACTTTTTATACATGGATCATCTGCTTGAGCGTCTTGTAGCTGTTGAGGCTGCCATTGATCATTAATAACGGTGGTTCGCCTCACGGGGCAAAGTCGTTTTTCTAATTCAAGACAATGATAAAGATTTGCACTGTAGGGCCGTCTTGATTGAACATTAGCATTTGAATGACTTTTTCCAGCCCAGTGCTCGATCTGTTCTTCGCCCTCTCTGGGCGAAGATAATTTGAACACTGTTTAGGTATCTGTCCGTGTGTGTAGGTTTTCGATATACTTTATGTCCTAAGTAACCTTCCCTTCGATTTACTAATACTTCTAGGAACGCTAGTTGTTGATCTTTCTCTTTTTCCATTGTAAATTGAATATTTGGACGTAGTGTATTTATATAAGATAGAAAATTGTTAAGTTTTTCTACTCTGTGGCCCCAAATCACAAAAGTGTCATGGACGTAAGTAAACCATACCCTTGGCTTATATGCTGACTTCATTACCCTCTTTTCTAGATGCTCCATGAAAAGATTGACTACGGCCGAGCTTACTGGGCTTCCTATTGCTACTCCATCTACCTGTTCATAAATCTGGTCTTCCCAAAAAAAGTAGGTGGTAGTGAGGCAAATACGGTATAATTCCACCATATCCTTGGAAACTAGTCTCTTAATTAAATTCAGAACGTCTTCTAGGGGAACTCTTGTAAATAGAGAAACAACATCAAACCTGACAAGAATGTCAGGTTCCTGTAAAGTTATTCCTTTGAACTTCTCGATAAAATAGGCGGAGTCTTTTACAAAGGCATCGT